CTCAAGAAAAGTAAAAGATGGTAAGCCGGAGATTTTATTTTATTACGACTATCAACTTGATGATGATAAGATTCCAACCAACCAGGTTTCCCTCAAACAGATTATCCCACCTCAAAATTACCGAAACTACCCGTTACCGAGCAAAATTCGATCGATCTCTGGATGCTTCCAGAAAGAAGGACGTCGCTTTTCGCAATTGCGCGAAGAGAACACGACTGGAGCGTGCATTTGTGCTATGCCGCGTCAGCATAGCGGACGGAGGCGTGGCACGACGTCAGCATTGCACTGCTGACGATGCATAGTCGTATTTAAACCTACTCCGTCTAGGACGTCGTCATCACGTTCACTCATCCAGCTTTTTGTTTCCTCACCCACAACTCATCTGATCCTTTTCGTTCATGTTGATTCCTCCTGGTCTGATGGCCCCTTCCAGTCAATTCCTATCCTTAAATTGCATTCGTACTCTGTTTGTACACGTCTCCGTTGTGCCACGTCGACTCAAGCGCGTGTCGAACTGCGTGCTCACGTCTATTTAAACTCCTCGTGCATCACAATCGTTCGATCATTCATTCTCGTGCATTTGCATTCTTGTCGAATTGTTGTTGCATATTCGTTCCATTATCAACCCATCATATAACTTTTCAGAACTCGAGAAATCACAACTCAAATCACCCAAATCTCCTGTTAATCAACATGAAGACATTATTCCTTTTGGGCTTTGTTGCCCTCTTCGCCATTGGCGTCTACACAGAAGAGAAGAAAAATGATGACAAGAAAGTGAGTTTGACTGTAAGATTTGCTCTCAACACTTCTTTCGATTGCATGGATTGGTTCTAATTTTCGTTCTTCTCAGGATACCAAATACGGAACTATTATCGGTATCGATTTGGGAACCACATATTCTTGTGTAGGAGTGTACAAGAATGGACGAGTGGAAATTATCGCCAACGATCAAGGTGAGGCTTGAACATTGAGTTTTGTTTTTCGAAATGAGCTGTAAACAATGTTGATGGCTGCAGCCTACATTTTTTATTTGACGGCAAACGGCTGGAAACTAGTTTAGTAGGTATTTTGTTTCCGCTCGCTTTGCAGTAGTAGCAGTTCTCCTCCAGTTTCCGTGGAGACTGAACTAAGATGGAAGTTTGCATTCTCTTGATGTATTATATGATCAATTCCATGCGAAGAATACTTTGAACGAGCCAGATGTGCGCATCAACAAGTAAAACATGCAGGC